ACACACACACACACACACACATATCTTTGCTTGTAGTGGTCCAGGCAGTGTTGACCAGTACAACATTATAACTAACACTTGGTACCTTGTAGGGTGTTGGTATCATACTAAGAAGTGAGGACAGATAAGATGAGTGTAATTTAGTTACGCAGGCCTGGCCTTTCACCTTGGAAAAGGATGGATAATTATGACCGATCATTCTCAACCCACTCAAAGTTAACCGAGGAAAGGAAATGAATAATTTGGTTCTCTCATCAAATCCTAGTTGTAATTGATTTAGAAATTTTTTCCTATTATTTTCATGTGTGTTTTGTCACTAGTTTTACTTGATGATTCAATGAGTTTCTCGAGTCCAATTTTCAGTTTATTTGGAGGCTGTGAATCTTAATATAATTATTATATATGTTAAATAACTTAACATGTTATTTATATTTGGAGTCATATTTGTAGAGTTCTAAAGGTCTCTTTTTGTGGGCTTTTGGGAATTGATGCAATACCAGAAAACTTCCCTTCTAAGTCATCTTTAGCACACACATATATGAAGTGTTCCTTGGCACATGAATTCACAGGAGTCAGCATGACATGCCAAAGCATCATGCTGGCTGGTGACTTCCGTAGGCCTGGCACGCTATATTTGATCAGGTTTCTTAATTTTAATTTGCTAATTATATGCTATTATTTTTTACTGACAACAAAACATAGTGTGGCCCTGTATTGATTACTAGCAATGTCTAATCAGTTCTACCTCTCAGCTTAAATTCTTTGTCTAAATTACTTCTTTTCTTAATCTGAAATTTCAGCAGTGTCCGGTCAGATCTATCTCTTAATGTTTTGACCATTTAATAATTGCTAAATATGATGACTTTATATGAGGCAGGTACGCAACGTCATGATAGAGAATATTGACAAAGTACTAGAAAGAGGAGAACGATTGGAATTGCTGGTTGACAAAACTGCAAACATGCAAGGAAATACAGTTCGCTTTAGAAAACAAGCCCGTCGTTTTCGGAATACTGTCTGGTGGCGAAATGTTAAGCTCACGTATGCAATTTGCCCACCTAAATTTTTTGTTTCCCTGTGGTTTCCATGCATTTAATTTTATGATATCATTAGATTGACTTCTTTTTAACTTTACATTAGCTATGCAAAAATAGAAAGCTAGGGATGATGAGCATGCATTATGTAGATGGTTTTTATGTCACTTAATTGTTTTGAACTTTAAAGTAGAGTTTGTGTTTTCTTCTTCTACGAGAATATAAGACCTTTCCGCCAGACCCAGCACATTCATCACAAATGCTTTCTATGGTTTGAACTAGAAGGATTTGGAATATTCAATTTCTATGATTCTGGTTGATTGAGATTGCTGTTTTTCTGTCCCAGAGAAATGTTTAAATTGGGTCTTCAATTATTAAATCTGTTTTAGTGAAGATCAGCCATAACAACTATTATCAATACAGAGGTGAGATGACAATCATGATGATAAAAAGATGAATAACAACTCTTATTCAACATGTTCTTGATTTATCAGTGCCTCGAAGGACTCAAGTTTTTGGTGTAATAAAACCATATCCAACTTTCAATTTCTACCGCATGCCAAAATGTGCTTTATCAAAATCCCATCTCTTGACTACTGAATAATTTGTCAGTACAACTATTAACTCTCAATTGAATTATTTAACTTTTGAATAGACACTTTACCAACTGATTTCTTTTTACTTGTTTCATCAGCTCTTTCTTAATAAAATATGGTTGCATGAATTCCCCTCTAACATAATGGCTATGTGTGAGGCTACCTAAAAATCGAGTTGCTTCTATTTGGATAAAACTCAAATGACACAACATACTTTCTTCAGTAACCTATGCATATTTGAAGATATGAGGTAACATTAAGCCATAGCATTGCAAAGTTTATTTTTTCTGCTACTTAACTATTGATTTTTTTATTGTTTTCTACTTCACTTGTATAGTCACCATAATAGTATTCACTTTATAGTAAATAGTTGGGCTAGGTCAAATGGTCTATAATTGCTAATGTGACGCTCTATCATCCATAAGTTGTTATTTCATGTCTTCCTGTTTCTGGCATTCATTCAAGTGCATAACTTGGTATTGTACAGATTATTATTCTTAAGATGCCTTCTTAATGTCTTTACATGTGTAACTAGTCTTTTGTTTATTCTTTCCCATAAGCTTTCAGCTTTTAGTTGATCATAAGTACATTGTCTTACTTTAACAGCTTTTACATCTTGCAGGGTTGCTCTGATATTACTTATCCTGGTTATAATTTACATCGTGCTTGCGTTTGTATGCCATGGCATCACTTTGCCATCCTGTATCAGGTAGAGCGCGTTGTGATTTTGTTTTTACCTTTTTCCATGATTGGTTTAATGTCGTGAACCAACAACTATTGAGCGTGCGCCATGCATTATATTGATTTGAGTTTCCCCACTTTGTGGACGTTGTTAGACAAATTTATTATTACGTGGTATGTGCCTCCACTTGTGGCAAGATCTGTAACTAAGATGGTGCTCGATACTATTTATTATTTCAGTTCATCTCTACTGGATATGAATTGCAGAGATATCAGATGGGCCTTTTATTTGTGTATCTGAGAACTCTCAGAGCTCTTTCTTGGCTTTTAGATATATGTTTGTCATTATAATAGATAACTATAGCATGCCAATTTGAATAAGAATTGGGATCTTCTACAATCTGCCACCCCGATTCCTACGCCTCATGCACCATCCATACTTTGGCAAGAGTTCAGCAAGCTGTGCAGGCTTGCAAAAAGCTTCACTGGGCATATCTCTCCATCAAGATTGTTCTTTGGAAGCTGTTTATTACGTGGGCGATTGCTGAGCTTGATGCAAGTGCTTGCAAATTACTGGGGCAGGTTTTCACGAGGAAGAAAGAGGACAGAGAGAGAAAAAAATTCTTTGATCTGCCCAATCAGAGACCTGGAGATGGAGATGCGATTGCTTGTTCTTGGAAGCCGACAGGCACAAGCTACAAAAGCTCTGGGTGACATCATGGGGTGAGGCCAAGGCTTTGTTAAGATTAGGAGAATAATGGCCCAAAAAGGTAGCCTGCTGCAGTTTTACCACGGGAAAAAGGAAAAAGAAGAGTGTGGTGCTGAAGACAGCAGCCGGCAGCGGGACCATATCTGAAGGATTGCTCTGGTGGCAGCAATGATGAACCCTAAAACCGTGGATTTGGAAGCATCTAATTCCCATATTCAAATATGGGTGAGTGTTTGTGTGTTCATGGCTCAAGCATGGAAGTTCTTCTTTGTCAGCTAAATCCTCATTGTCTGAATTATGTTACTCATGAGAGAAAATTGGTATGATGAAATTTTGACCACAGCCATTTCCAAACCAATTTGAGGAAGCTGAACATTTTCTCACCTCTTTGGCAGATCACTTCCTCATGTAAAGCTTAGACTCCCTGCAGTATGTTCATTTCCATCATTTGATCGGATGCAGATAAGATAAAATATTTGCAGCTGAGTGCAATGCATCATCTCCTGCAGCCGAGGCCAGATGAGCAGACCACCACTCAGCTTGCACAAAAGCTGAACATGGATGGACATGATCAAACTAGCTAAGTTTAACATAGACCAGTTCTGTCCTCATCAAAGAATCCTATGTTTTTGTTTCTACTCAGCTGACCACAGACGACATCATTTTTTTCTGCCCAGGAAGAAGGTCAGCATCTCACATGGCTCATGCAAAGTGTGGACGGGAGGGAAGCAACATAACCATTAAGGGATGATATTTCCTAGAAACTAAGAAGAGCTTGAGTGGACATCACAACAGCTGCTGCAGTCTCTCTGTAAACTGAGAGGATATGGAATTGCTCAAATCATCCACAAACCTCAGCTTTCCAGAAAGTGGCTGCTGATCTCCCTCCAAAGTCCAGAGTGAATCTCTGATCACAAAAGAATGATGAAGGAAGACAAACCTGCAAATTTTCCTTCCCATACTAGTTCTTGATCACCATGAAAGGGATAGATTTTAATCCTAGTTACTGTGAATTGGATGGTCATTGTGGCACAAGTTTTCTGATACATCATACAATCTTACATTTCAATCAACAGAATAGCAAACATAGAAGAAAAAAATATATATCCAACCATAAAATGAATGTCTTTCCCATAGTCGAGTGAAGCAAAATTCTCATGGAGCATATAGATTTTTTACCTTGTAAAGTCTGAGTAACTTGGAAGGATTTCGTCTTTGCTGATTCTGAATGGAGACTGCAGGAGATCAAAATCAATAGATCTCCTTGGATGTCATGACACAAGAGTTTTCATGTAATTTGCATAAATCTTACTGAAACACAAACAAAGAAGAATTCATCGACTAATGCTGAAATTTCAAGGAGGAATTCACAAAATTCACCTACCCATGGGATGTGTCTGCTCCTGAAGAATGCTTGTGAGTGCTGAAGAGTGTTTCCTCTTTGAAAGAAGTCCTGAATTGCCATCCCTTCCCACAGCTTTCTTGACCCTCTTCTTCTCTCCCTCCTACCTGTGTTTTGGAGGTTTTGTACAAGAGAAGTTCAAGAAAGCTGTGGAAGGGAATGGCATGGACTTGGAATGCAGCAACTCCAATCCTCCCCATTCTCATGGTTATTACAAGGAGCTACTCACTCCATGCTCAATGGTGTGACCAACAATACTTATAAGATCTCTGTGTGAGCTGTGTCCATTTGTTCTCTAGAAGTTATCATAAAAGTGATTTCAATGTGTGTCTGCTGGAGGTAAAAATAGAAATCAAATTTCCACATATATCCCTTTACATTTTAATTTGACATATATATATATATATGTGTATATTCCTCCAAAAGCTAAAATTTGGTATATGATATTATAATTAATCTTCATTATCCATGCATTTAATTTATTAGTCGAACTCTAATTTTACAAATGCATTATAATGCTAAATCATTAGTAACAAAGTAAATTTTTTTAACTCAAACAAACCAATATCGATCATAATTATAATATATATTTTTTGAAAAGATAAGCGATAAAGATGAATTTTAGTCTCAAAATCTTGTACCGATCTAACGAAGTAAGCTAGTTAGCATCTTCAATTTAACATGCGGGATCTTAATATTCGGAGAATATAGATTTGAAATGCAATGTTGCCAAACTTGCAAGGATATATATGAAAAAAAATCAGAATAAACAGGAAAGAGTAGATGTGATCTGGAACTTTTGGTGGACCACATTGCATGAATGTCATCTCTGGCCTATCAGAAGCCTTCTCTGTCCTTGGCATGCTTTGCAGAGAGAGAGAGAGAAATAGAGAGAGAGAGAGAGAGAAGAGTGTCAGAAGAATAGGGGAAGAAAATAAAGGTGAATTATTTGAGGGCCCTAATTGGATCCCTATTGTCTTTGCCACCGAAGGTGTAGAGAAATGCCACAAATGCTTACTCGGTGATGTTTAGGTCTGGATCGACAAAAGGACAAATATTGTGCCGATCACATCAAATGTCAAGTGTCAGATTCGTAGAGTTTATCATCCAATCAAGTCTGCCTTGGGAACAATCCCAACTGTAAACGTGTAGCCACACTAAATCATACTGCTAAATCTATATTCATCTTATATCTAATTTGCACCTCTAAACTTTAATTTAGCACGTTCTTGTGGAATCTAAATGCTTGCCGGTGTAATCAATTCTCATCAGTTGAACCTTAGCATAATGATGCTACAACAGCACAACAAAAGATATAAACTCCATTTTGTTTTACAACTTTACGTCGTAGCTGATGAGTCAATACGGTTTGGTTTGAAGCATGTACGCAAGGTTGTCAAACATGACTTTCCGATTGGAACAAGTCGATGTATGGTTTGGTTGCCCCAAGGAAGATCAAGTTGAGATGTGTTTTGCAACGCTCCACCCTTTCGTGCATAACTCTGGTTTCTACACATAGGTTAGGGTCAAGAGTGGATTTTTCATCTCGACCACTTCGAAACACACGTCACTAAGAAGAAGTGATGGTAAGATTAAATGTTCAAAGTATGACCTCTGGTATTGGCCTGGAGATCAACTTTTATATCCGCAATCGAAGATTTTACGATCAATTAATGCCCGTCGATATCTTAGGCTATTGGTCTGTATGCCCTATGCAAGCATTGATCAATTTGCTCGATCCTGTGTCGTGCGACATTGCTTCACGCTTCTCAAGCTGCTCTCTACGGTGTAACGCCACCTCGTACAGCCTTAGTCGGTATGGGTGCAATCGGTAGGAGATGCAAGTGCAGACGACTGTCTCGTACGGGTTCGAGGTATCGCATTGACGTAGCACATCATGTTAGCATGAAGCACCATGTCGGCTTTGACGTGACAGTTGATTGCAGTCACGGGGATAATACCGGAATATGCTCTATCAACTCCATTCTAAATCATATCATCGCATTATGTTGGTCGCACAAAATCATAATTGTGATATTGTATGATCAATTCTGTACGGAAAAGAAAAAGGCAAGGTAGGATTATAAAGTGGATGCAAGATGATGGATCACGTGGAAGAGATTCGTGTGGAGGAAGGGTACGACGGATTGCGTGCTTTTAACTGATGAGCCCTATGGAGCATTCAGAGAGCTGCCCATGGAGCAGACGAAGGAAGAGCGCGAGGGAGGGGGCAGACGCGGCCGCAGTGGTCACATGGAAGCATGTGATGGCACACCGCTGTGTCCGTCGCGGAGTTAATACGTGAACGCGGGTGCGGGCTTCTGGTCCCCATGGCGGCGGCATGCCACCCCCCCGTCTCGAAATGGGGGTGGAGGCACCCCAATTGGCCGTCCCTTCCGCGGCCGAACCGCACTACATGGCAGATTGGAACGATGATGGAACGGTGACAGCCCATCTATTTGTTGAAGACCGGTAATGGACAATCCATGGGCCCGTTGGACTCGTTGATCCATTGTATTCGTGGGCCATTTCTTGAAGCTGTAAACGATTTATTTCGACTAAATCAAATTACATTCGAACACATTTTACCCTTTTTGGAGTTCACAATAATTTATGATCTTGCATGGAATACATCCCGATCCGGTGATTAATTTAGATTTTGCGAATCTTAAGAGGATCGAAGCGTCCTAATCATTTTCTTTTTGGGTTGGGAGGCCCCCATTGTTCTTCGTGGGCCTCGATGGGCCTTAGGAGCATTTGGATCCGATGTCGTCTGGCACGGTTTTCGGAAGATGAGGAGGAGGTTCACGAATCTTGAAGAGAATCGGGTGGTTCTCTTTTCGCACGGCGCAAGTTTGGCCGGCTCAATGACGCAGCGGATCCCAACCCTCGTGCGAGGCAATGGATGGGCCGTTATTATGGTTTCACGCGGTTTCGTGGGATGCGTACTTCCTACCACGCGTAAAAAGGCGTATTAAAGTCTCTGTTCATCTCCCTCTTCCTCCTCGTCAAAGCCCTCCATTCCCCATGCCTTGTCCTCTCCATACCGAGCGGGAGGTAATGGAATTCCTCCTCTTGTTTGCCATATTCGTCTTCACCTGCGGCCTCATCAACTGCCGCCGCTTCCTCCCCGGGTCTAAGCTAATAGCATGGCTTTGCTCATTTCTGCCCACTTCCTTCTCATCACCAAAGCTAGCAGAAAGAGCAGTGGAGGAGGAGGAGGAGGAGGAGGAGGAGGAGGTTGACGATGAGCTCGAAAGCATATTCTCGACCTTCGACAAGGACGGAGACGGCTTCATCACCGTGAAGGAGCTGGAGGAGTCGCTCGGGCGGTTGGGCCTCGCTGTCACAGACAACGAGGCGATGAGCATGATGGAAAGAGTCGATGCGAATGGAGATGGCCTCATAGACCTCGACGAATTCCGCGAGCTCTACGCCGAGCTGGGGAGAAACCAAGAAGGAGGCCATGAGAGGGGTTTGGTGGCGAGAGAAGAGGAAGAAGAGACGGATTTGAGAGAGGCGTTTGACGTCTTCGATGGGAACAGAGATGGGCTGATTACGGCGGAGGAGTTGGCCATGGTGCTGAAATCTCTGGGGCTGAAGCAAGGGGCAAAGTTGGAGGACTGCAGGGACATGATAGGGAGGGTGGACAGAGATGGGGATGGCAAGGTGAACTTCGATGAGTTCAAGAAAATGATGAAGATGAAAGGGGGGAAGCTCTTCTGATCCATTTGTCAGCTCCCTTCCGCTGCCATTACCAGAACAAGCAGACATCTATGTACAGATGTGATCTATCGCTAACCCATGTTCATCTTCTTCTCTGTTCATCAATTTTCTTCTTTACTCCTTGTAATGAATGCTCACTTCTCTCAAGATACGAACAACTTGTTATTGTGACTTGAATGGAGAACGGATTAACATGCTTCTTCTTCAGAAACATGACAAGCTTTTAGTCTATCCAATATATTTTACATTTCAGAAATCATTTGTAGATTTCACATGACCCACGAATCATGTGCTGCGAGATCGATGGATGGATTAACTTGACAAATTGAACTCAATGACTAAATCTTCTAAGCTTGTTGATATCCACACAATCCAAGGGAAAAGCTGTTTGAGCTGACAGATCTGAGGTCAAGAGCTGGATACACTGAGGAGACTGCTCAAAACACAGGGTCTCTTTATTGTGTGAAGTAGTTTGTTTGATTAGTTCACTAGAACACTTGATGCTGCTGTGGGGACTAAATCATTGAATCAAAGTAGTCTATTAAAATGGTTTTATTCTGAAGTGGTCAGATTGATGTGGAGTCTATATAATGTTGCTGTCAGAAGACCATTTGTTGGCCATCAACCAATTCCCAGGCCTTGGCATTACCATGTCTATATCCTTTGCTTGACTTTGTCCAAGGTAGGGTCAAGGAGGCCGGCTTTTCTTTTGCTTTAGGAGAGAATTGATTCCTCCTCAGAGTGCGATACTTTTCTTCGGAAGATCAATCCATGGAATGAGTGAAGAATAGTTGCAAGTCCAGAAGAACATTGAAGGAAGTCACGTTCTTTGTTGAACTCAACGTGAAACCAGTGCTGTATTCTTGGAGAATCCATTCTAATTTGCTTGCTATACACTGATGGAAGGGTCACAATATAGCCTACGAGAATATCCCAGATCACAAGTTCAAGCTTATATAAAGCTTACAGATCTTTTGATACTAAAGTTAGGCTCTCCGAGTGGATTAGATGATGATAAGACGATAAAAATTTTGTATATCATACCCAAACCCTTTTTCCTCATAATAACTACATAAAGAGATCAATTGGTGTGACAGGACTTTGGGAAGGTACAGCTGACAACAAGCATCCAGACCTAACAATCAACCTTGAGCTTGTTTTCCATGTTTAGCACGAGTTAGAACATGTCTTAGTCAAATTCCTTCTGAATACTTGAAAGTTTCCATTCCCATGTTGTCTTACATGATGACACCTTGACATCATTTTGCAGTCGATATGTGATCATATCACGTACTTCACACGTAGAGACGGCATCTCTGACATAGTTTGAAGGTACAACACAAGTCAATTTTGTGTCAAACAATCCAAAAGCAGCCTTATCGCATGTCATTTTAACTGTCACTGTGCTGTGATAAAGAGAGGAACTGCGGGAACGAAAGAATCATATTGTTAGCTCTTTGTTTCTTCCCAAAAAAAAGGGCAAAGAGATCATAATTATGCATCAAATGGTCAGTATCTGCATAGACTTCAGAGACCGATTCGTACATTGATTTGAAACGAGCCACCAGTTATCATTATGCCATGCAACAACAGCACTATGGAAACTTCTATCTTTCCCAGCAAGTGAGCAGCTTTACTTTTATTGCACTCACGGTGGCGTAGGACATGGTTTCCATTGGGTCTCACACCTTTGTAAGATTACAGCTTATAAAACCATGGCCGTGTCACCCCTTAACGTAGCTTCCATTAGTTTGATGTGGTAGATACCACAAGCATGCTGTGGAAGAGGAAGAACATAGCTTGCTTGCACAATAGTCCACTTGTTATACTAAATGGTATGAGTAAGTACACTGATTCGCTGGTTTATTCTTAATGTATTGGGTACGAAACATTCCAACGAAGCAGACAACGTAGCCACAAAGTCACAGGCGGACATCATCCACCATGGGAGACTTGGTAGGCGACATTGGTTCCAAGGGATCTCCTCCACTGTGCTTTGAACAGGTCCCCTCGGTCATGTGAAGATGACCTTACCATCTCTTCGTGCACAAGAAATGTCACTAAGTTATTAGTGTAGGTTACGGCTTCACGTCTTCTGTATACGGAATCATTAAAGTTGATCCATAAGCATCAAAGAGAATTAAGAATCAAATTAAAGATCAAATCAACAATCAAACTACGAAGCTGTCGAGCTTCCTTTCAGTTAAATTCCTGGTTTTATTGCAACCACCGGTCTTCAATTAAAACTGAAAGCAACATTTCTTCTAAATTTACCAGTTTAAAGTTTTTTAGTTATCTATTTTAAATGATATTTATGTTTTTATTAATTTTTCATGTATATTTTTCATATTACTTTTATTATAATAACTTCAAACGAATGGATAGAATTAACAGTGACAAAATTTTAAGAAAAATATAATAGTGAATGAATAATTAAGATTCGTCGTTTTGACTGATCAAATGTGGTCCTCTCTGATTTATGTATTAATTGGTATCGATGTATCCATATATATGTGCATCAATATGTAACGGAGAAAAAAAAAATAAAGGAGGGGAAAAAGGAAAAAGAGATAATAGAGGAAGACGAGACAAGCAAAAAAATGAATAGAGTGGAGGAAAAAAAAATAATGGTAGGCAGTGATCCATTATAACAATGATTTTCGAGTGGCGCACGAATGGACTCACGTTAAATCTATTAAATTATTTTTATTTAGTTAGATAGTTCAATCTTATTTTTGAATCGATGGAAATAGAAACGATGTTTATGTCTAAATTAGCATATATTATCAGTTTAGTACCAATTCAAGTAAAAAAAATAGTTTGTAAACTGGAAATAGGAGAGATGTTTATGTCTAAACTGGAAATAGTTTGTAAGGAAGTCTCTTGACTAAAAAAAATATTTTTTTTAATGTATTTTTGCTAATATAAAATTAATTACTGAATTATCATATATCTTAACTCAATCAATTAATGTAACAAAAGGTTCGTAATTTTGTACATTACCGAAGTTTTGATGTTAGCTCAGTACGATATGATAATGTATACCGAGCGATATACCAAATGATATACTGCTCATTATATATATATATAAACGGGGCGACATCGTATTGCCTCGACGACGTCGCCCCGCGTGAGATGGAAAAGACGACATCATCTTATATATATATATATATATATATATATATATATCATTTCGTTTTGTTCGATAATGGGTGGTCCGTTTACCGATCAACTGATGGACCGGTACGTACTAGGACAGTATTATTCGAAATTGTATACGTTGAATGTAATATTTATATTTGTAAGAGAATTATATATATATATATATATATATATATATATATATATGTTTGGCACAAATCTAAAAAAAAATTCTTTTAGTTTACTTATTCCAAATTACTTAACCACGGACAAACGAGACCATACCACAGTTAAGTTTTGAGCGTAATGACTCGAGTGACCTCCAAAGCACCCGTAACCCCGCCTCCCCCCGCGCTCTGTGTTTGACCACCTGACTAAGAAATGACATATAATGACTCGTTCCTTTCTTCCCTCTCCATTACTCTATTCCAGTGTCGTTGGCCGCTAGCGCGGACCTCCGGGAGATCATCGGGCGACCACTGAAATTGGTGGTCGTGGCGAGCGAATTCGGCACCGACTCTTGGCGTAATCGGACCGGTGACGGTCCGCAAATCACCACTGCGCTACCCTCTCGCGAGCTCTCTGTCATGGAATTGGGGCCGGACGCCGGCGATGACGGCTACCGGGTTCAGTCATGACGATCGCATGTTTCCTTCTTCTGATTCTATTCGCGCAAGCATGCGGCCAGCAAGGTAATTGAGCATCACATCTTCTATCATACATCGATTTCCTTGCTTCCTTTGTGGTTATAGAGAGTCTTGGTGTCATGTAACTGAACGATGGTTCAACTTTCATGTGATTAACCTGTCGATCAAGTCCTGTTTGAGTTATGGGTAAGACGGATTTCAAATCTTTTGGGCAAGGTTTAGTTGCGTATTTATCAGTTTATGTTTTCTATAACAGCAACTTCACGATAATTTGGAGTTATCCTTTGATTGCAAATGAATATTTAGCAAGTTGGGCTGCTTCGTTGCTATATAGGTCTATGTAATCTGAATTGATGCATCTCGGGAGGTAAATCAGTCGCGTTAGCTATCTACATTTGCAATATGTACCTACTCTTGTTTGAGTTCGCTGCAACTGGAGCTTCAAGAGTCAAGCCCTGTCATGTACTTGGGGCCAGGTTCAACATATCAAAAGCTACTGGCAGTACCATGTGCCAATTAGTTCCTAAGAACGTAGTTGTGGACGCCATATAAGGGGTACTTTCTTCATAGTTCATAATGACCTTCACAAATGAATTCTGTCATCATCCTGCTTCGCCTCAAGTTTCTCACTGCCATTAAGCAGGGGAAAATGTACAGGAAATGAAAAAATCCAAAAAATTTCCTGAAATGCCATAACATTTCGAAGAATGAGGAGTTTCTAGTTGTAATTTGAATGGTAATGCCAATATTACTTATTGTCCCAGAGTAACAAAATGTTTAGCTTTCAGAACTGCTTGTAACTCTCTCTACCGAGGACTGCCATTTCATGGCGGGGTGGTCTTCTGCCATAGCATGTTCTTGTATCAGCCAACACATGCAGATAACTGACTTGGCCATATTTTAACACCCGAAATCAGGTTGGTGTGAGGCATGCCTATGCATTTTTAGGGTGAAATATTTCACGACATGCCGACATGTGCTGATTGGCACCATATTCCTTGTTTTCTAGTGTTATGCAAAATAATGATTCAAACAGAGGATAATTGCATTCAGTTTTTACCTTTTCGATGGTGATCTAGATTATTATCTTCTGTTGCTAACTTCTTTTTTTCCAAGTCCCTGTGCTCGAATACTGATGTAATTTAACTCACAAGTTAGCTGGTAGTGCATCAATACATGCTTTCGATATAATGGATACATCATGACTAGAAGTCTGCACATACCCCTTCTATTGATCAAGACATGCTTGTTTTTCATATTTTGAAGATTTATCTTGTAAATTGTTGATACCATGTCATTAAATTATTTCAGGAACTTTCATTTTGAATATCGCAACCAATGAACTTTTGCAATTAGCAAATTCTAGGTCTGTTCCTAAGCTTTACCTTCTCTCTTCTTGCCACTTTGTAGATGATGTGAGAATGGATTTTTCAATAGTGGTTGTAGTGGAAAAGGTTAGAAATGAACTTCTGTTGTGGAATCAAGGAAACAAAATTTTTCAGAATTGGTCTGGTGACCCATGCTCTCCCTCTCCATGGGAAGGTTTTACTTGTCAAATGTTAAACCATACATTTACTATAACACACCTGTAAGTGCCTTCATCATTCCAATACCGCAAATGTCTTAATATTCTGTTCTTTCACTTATTTTGCTTCTTTACTGTTGATGCCTTCTTATCATTCTTGCTTCCATGCTGTTATAGTCAGCTTATACTTTCTTCATATTACACAATTTTAAGACATCTAAATTTTATTCAGGAATCTCTCATCAAATAATTTGCAAGGGTCAATTCCTACATCCATCGGTGACCTATCAGAGCTAAGAGAGCTGTATATCTCACTGCTTCCTGGAATCATGAGTTCATCACATAATTTTATTTGCCTTGTTCTCTGCTCTGAATCATCCGGTACTTTCTATATGCAGGTATTTGGAGGATAATAACTTTACAGGGTCTGTTCCAGAATCTTTCGTGTCACTTCACCATTTGTCAAATCTGTATGTTTGTTAATATCTTTATTCTCTTGCTTCTTCTTATATTTACTTTGGGTGTTTGGTTCACCAATAATTGTCCTTACAGTTGCAACATGTCATGATGCTTCACCCATATGGTGCTTATCCTCTCTTTTTCTGGAGATACAATTATCAAATGAAAAGCTTGACTTTTTGCATTTTCCTTTTTTAGGTCCATAAAGTGCAACCCACACTTAGACAGTCAACTCCCTCCTGGTTTGTCAAGAAGGAATCTTACCGTAAGGTATGAAAATCATGCTGATTTATGTTCATATTAATAAATTTGATGGTTGATGGTAATGTATCTTATATGTTCATCTCAACTGCGGTCTTCAGTTCCGGAAACTGTCTCAGGAAAAATGCTTCTGAAACAAGTTCTTCTCAACGAAGAATTTATCTGCTAGGAGCTGGAGGGTCTCTTACTTTCAGTCTTGCATTTGCTATTTGTTTCAACTGTTTCTACAAACGTGCCAATCACTCTGATAGAAGAGATCACCTGGACATTAAGAGTATGTCTGAATTCTTATCTTCTCAGAATTGCTGCAGAAATTATTATGTAATAGGCAAAAAAGTTGACCAACTATGCTTAGGGAAAGATGTCTTACCTTTAGTGTTAGGAAACTTTATTTGGCTTTTAAATTTTTTTCAGGATGTGTTTAAAATTGTCTTCCTACTAATATTTTTTTAGGTAATATGTTTAACTACTAATAATTACCAATTGATAGGTGTCTTCTGAGACCAGGCACTGGATTAATACAAAGGGCCATTGGAATATAATTTCTTTGCTCAATAATGAATTGAGATATGTTTCTAAGACCCATTGTAAACCATATGTTAAGAAAAAATGTGAAAAATCTTTTAAATGACTAAAAGCCTCTTATGAAAGTTTTGTTTTTCTTATACTTGCATAGTTTGTGTATGATTTAAACAATTTTTGGAATGCAAAATTTGTAACATAAAGAGCTAAGTGGAATAACTCATTAGTAATTCAATTGTCTCTATTGTTCCAAAGAGTGTTAAATTTTTTATGATGTGAAACATAGGGTTTCTAATATGGTTCGTCTTACCGGTCCGTACTGGTGTACCGATCGGCCATCGGTACGATATGTATCGATCCATACCAATATACAGACATATGGTACAGTGGGCCATACCGAGAGACTGATATGTACCACCCATACCGGTCCTCTGTCAGACTGGTAAGTACTTCTCGGTGCGGTGACTCTTCTATGTTGGGCATACACCAATGTTGATAGGATTTTCTTTACAGATAGCTGATTTCATAATCTCCTTATATTTGAGTTTTCCTTTTATAAATAGCTAATTTCATGGTTTCCTTTTATAAATGCAGATATAGTTTTCTCAGAATCAAGTGTTGATGATGTTTCAACAAACCTGGTAGTGCATCAGTTTTCTCTTAAATATATCGAAAGTGCCACATGCAACTATAAAACCTTGATTGGAGAGGGTGGATTTGGAACTGTTTACCGCGGTATTCTCCCTCATGGTCAAGAAGTGGCTGTAAAGGTTCGATCAGCTACATCAACTCAGGGAACCCGTGAATTTAATAATGAGGTAAAATAGCTGTCAGTTTCTTTCTTTTTCTTTTTTACTATAATCATTAATCTTATGTTTGTAATTCTCAAAAAATGCAAGTTTGTCTGAGCCTAGCTGCCACTTTTATGTTCATCATTCTCGTATACACTTAGTATGGATTGTAGTTGACTTGTCTCATAGCTTGGAAGTTCAGTTTTGGAAGATGCCACTGCTATATGTGGAGCTCAGACTTTATTGCCTGAAATCAACTCCAATTAGCAACGCCAATAAATAATGTTATAGTCTTGTTAAAATCCACTGTATCAATAGTTTCTAACTTTCTATTATATCCTTAATGGATATCCAAACCAAAAGTAAGCCTCTCTACTCTCTAGTCATGTGTTGTTTCCACTTTTCGCAGGTGAACCTTCTTTCAACTATCATGCATGAAAATTTGGTGCCGCTTCTTGGCTACTGCTCTGAAAATGATCAACAAATACTTGTCTACCCCTTCATGTCAAATGGTTCTTTACAAGATCGACTATATGGTATCATTTTAATGAAAAACACTAAGTTCTCTGTTCTTTAATATATATATATATATATATATTTCTTTTTTACTATTCTTATATCTCAATTTCTAGGGGCATCAGCAAAGAGGAAGATTCTCGATTGGCCAGCTAGGCTTTCTATTGTGCTTGGTGCTGCTAGAGGCAAGCATCATCCTCTGAATTTGCTTTCTATTAGATTGTTCATATTTGTTAGGAACTGTTATAAGCTATATATATTTTCATAATTTGCTACAATTTCCCAATTAAATGCCTACTGAACTGTAGAAAAAACAACTTATATGTTTAAAGTAATTTATTTCTTTTTTTTTCTTAACTTGAATTTGTGCATTGAAATATCATCTTGTGCCTGTTGGCGTGGATGCTAAGTAGCGCCAGTTGGCATGAACCGTAGAAAAGAGAACTATGTACCACACCAACAAGGGGATGTTACTCGGAAGACTGAAACCTATGATGTGTTTATCTACCAAGGACTTTGCCTTCCACTTGTTAGTTCCATATCGATCCCATGTTGGCTAATACAATACCAGTTTGATACCATGTTGACACATATGATGACCAGTGTATTGCTCTAGTGCAATTAGTTGTGCTTGACCAATAAAAAAGTTTCCACTTAATATTTGTCTAAGCAGGTCAATACATTGTTGATCATATTAAAAATAATATTAACCCAGTACGAAGTCATACGCACAAATAAAATCAACAAATTACAACTCAACTGTCCATTATCAAATAACCATTTATGCATTAATAATTTAATATGACTAACAAGTATAATATTATGCAAGGTTCACAACACTGGTCTATATTTAATAATGACCATACACTAGGCTAATATACTGATATAGTTATATTGACACCCAACACTGATCGGTGTTCATGGTATACTGGAAAGTTATAATGAAACCATTGATCATGGTATCAGTCATATCCAATATGATACTGATTCATATTGATATTTTCCAAGCCTTCAAGGTTGGTCCATTTTAGTTTATATCTCATACTTATAGTTAAAAACTGTTCAGAATTGGCTTCAATCAATCAATTGGATATTAGCAGATTTTAGACAATTTTAGCCATTGTTTGTAGTATTGACTGATCTTAATGCGGCACCCTGATGTGGTATAATCTAAAATCAATTTGATTTGGCTGTATTCTGGCCCATATAGCCAGAAATTGATCAGCATTTGCTATATTTGATCAAGCTCGACCATAATTGACCAATTTTACTAATTTAGGTGATTTGATAGATTCAGAAGAAAAGGTAAGAGATGTTGGTACCGGTGTTTTTGTTGTTCCATGCAAGGTTCTTTTTGTTGTTTTTTCAGTTTTTTTTCGGATTTTTTCAAAATTTGTGTTGGCACACCGACACCAGTCTATACTGATATGGTACAAGACTGAGCCCTGACCGAGACACTACTGACACAAAATTATGAACCTTGATTCCATGCTATAATATTATATAACATTGTTACAATTTTTGTATATTTCATATGTATATACTGAAATAAGAGTTCATAGGGACATTCTTTTTGTCAAATTATCCTAATATAGATCTGCAAAAATTTTGACTGTTTTGCATTTATCATGACTCTTATGCACACTGTCACTACTAAACTGCTCAACCTATACATAGCTCTGGTGTCAGATTCCCATTAAGCACCAAAAATAGAGTTGTGACATGTTTTATCTTTTGATATGTCTCAGGTTTAATGTATTTACACACTTTTTTTGAGCGATGCATCATTCATAGAGATGTGAAGTCCAGCAACATTCTTTTGGACCATAGCATGTGCGGTAAAGTGGCAGACTTAGGTTTCTCTAAATTTGCACCACAAGAGGAAGATAGTGGAGCTTCACTTGAAGTAAGAGGAACTGCTGGATATTTGGACCCAGAGTAAGTTTGCTAATGATGTCTTACATATACTGTTTATGCTTTTGCATGTTCAACTTCTAAGTGTTGTGATATTTCTAGTTCTTCCCTGACTGGATATACTTATTTGATGACTGCTTGTACTATTTTGGTATCAGAAAAATTACATGTATCTACTAAAGAGGGACATGCGAGAAAATTAGAAAGAATGCCAGATGATGTTTTGAGATGAAAATCAGGCAAAAAAGGAGTGACCAGGAAGAAATAAGATCTTAACTCACACGGTGAACCAATAAAACACCCACAGGATATTGGTACATATCATGCCAAAACATGATATGACATGGATGGCACAAAAAGGAAAATTTAGAAGAACAAAAAAAAGGCATGAAGAAAAAGAAGGTGGATGGTTTGTCATCTTTGAGAAAATAAGTAAAAGAACAAAACAGATCCATATCTATTTTGCAAATGTGGAACCCAGCCAGATGTTGAGCAAGAGAGACTGAGAGGGGAGATTGAGAGGGGAAGAAGGGGGATAGGGCTTGGGCAAGGGATGGATAGGAGAGAATACAAAACACATAGGAAGAAACTTACATGTTATTGGTTATGTTTCAATCAATACTGCTGGAATACTGCTTGTATAGGTAGAACTTACAAGTTATTGGTTATGTTTCAAACGGTACTGCTTAAATCCTGCTTGGTATAGGTGGTATAGAAAAGCACCAAGCTGTATGATTGGTGCATGGTGATACTGCCTGGAGTAGGCTGCTCCACATATCAGTACTAGCTTGGACCGGAAAATATTTGCTGTTATGGTTGATCTCCACATTCCAGAAGATATTTCTTGCTTTCTCATATATTAGTCAACAGAGACAGGTCTATAAAAATTTCTGGATTTAACTCTCCAAATAATGTTTATATTTTAGCATAACCGGTACTTAGAGCAAATATAATAATTAATGTATACCAATGCAAGAAGGCAAGAACTCAATGTCAACCCCGAATTTAGTGAATCTAAATTTGTGTTGTTTCTTCTTAACATTTATAGCTTGAGACAATGGGTTCCATATGTTCTTGTTTCGGTTATTAGTTAACTACAAACCCATAAACCCAAACATGGAATACCAGCACCTTGTTTTGCTATCAGAAACTTCACTAAGAGATTACTAGGCAACTGATTGTTCTGAAATGAATTCTTAGGAGAAAGGTTCAAATGGATGACAAAGTGACAGATAGTATATGGTGCCATTGTGGCATTTGAATGGGCTATATGATTCCATTGAAAGGAGAATTCCATTTTATCTTAAAACTAAAAAACAGATTAGTGGGAACATTCCACATTGAATAATTATTAAGTGTAGTCATCAGCAATAACTTGTACATTTCAAAGGAAAGCAATGGCTCCATGACACTACTGTCCTATGTAATAAGTTGCAAGTGTCCAAAGTTGTCATTACAGAATTGTAAGCAAATATACAAGTGCATCATATTTTGTCACCAAACTATGTTCTTCTGTAAAGCAATTGAACTTTTGAAGTTTCTGTTGTTAATGTTAATTGAAACCGACTTGTTTTTCTTTATGTCTGGTGCCAACTTGCTTATGAAACATTCAGCTGACTTCTTTGTTGCATAAATCTCAAGCTTCTTCCTGGTCAACAATAACACATGAGCAATGACACATCATAATAGCATGACATTAGCAATTTAGCATATGGATCTTTTCTCATGGCACTTGAGATCATAACTGGGTTATTGCAGTTCTTTGCTAGATGGCATGCCCCTGATGTTTTGTTTAACTGGAATGTTGTATGCCAGTATTTTTTCTGTTGTTACTACTTACTAGTATTGTCATTATTATGACTTGCATTTTTTTGTTTCTTTCTGCTTTATCACTCTTTGCTGCTATCTTCTTGTTTCAATCATTTTTTTGTTTCTATTGTATTACTTTTAATGTGATTGTATATTATGCTATTCTTTTTCTACTCGTACATTGATGTTGCCTTTAGGTTTCTTTTTTTTTTTTGTACAATTGGATTATTTTCTTTTGTACAATTTTTTATGTAATCGTGACCAATAATAATTATCTGTCATTCTAGTTTTCTAGTTATATTTTTTGCACTTGAAACTTTTTAGTCATTTCACTTAATTTTATCTGATTTCTTGAATTTTCACACCATTACAACTTTTGCTAATATCTAACATAGTATTTTGATCTGACTTTGATATTGTTTTTTCGTTATGTTTCTTGTTTGATCAACTATCTGTTAGATTATAAGAAAATTGTTCATTTATTTTTTATTTAGATATTCATGGGATTTTTTTATTTTTTAATGATATCTTAAATTCATCAGGCTTAGGCATGAATGCCTAGGTGGCCTAGTGTTGCCTAGCTGCCTTAACAATATTGAATAAAATCATATCATCTGCATACAATATCAGCCATAGAAGTTTATGAATATACCTAACATGTTTGCATGAGAAACTTAATAGACTTCATGTTTTGGGGCTTGGCGTCGCAGAGGATGTGCGAAGGTATCAGCCAGCTTAGCTGGTAATGACTTTGATAGTATATCGCAAGGTCCCGATCTTGAATCCTGCTTTCGCCACTTACTCTTTGACAAAAAAAAAAAAGTTTGCATGAGAAAGGCTAAAATTTCTTATTTCATATTGGATTCAATAAACTTTTGCATTGGCTATCAGCTACCTAAAATGACTCTCCCTTTTTGGATACTGAGACTGGGTGGAGCTGCTTGCAATCCACAAATTATTTAACTTAAATCTGAAGCCACATTCAAGTATTTCACTTGATTAAGTGTACATTATCTCACAACCTATCACATTCACTCATTATGCAGTGATGGAAAATGGAGTGCACCACAAGCTGAAACATTGATTTTTTCTTTTATTCCAGATATTACTCAACCCAGCAGTTATCATCTAAAAGTGACGTCTTTAGTTTTGGGGTGGTTCTTCTAGAGATTGTCACTGGAAGGGAGCCCCTGAACATTCACAGGCCAAGAAGCGAATGGAGCTTAGTTGAATGGGTAAGATCTCTCTGTCGTGTCCTTGTTTTTTCATTATAGCATTGAAGTCAATATGACAAAGATACCTGGGAGGATCTAGATCAAGCTTGTAGAAAGTTTTATACTTATCCTGGATGGCCAGCAACAAGGAATGGAAATTAATCTTACTCAACATACAATTAGAATCTCTACTGACAAATCCCACAGGGTTTTTGGTCAAATGGTAAAACAAGGAAACTACATATGATTTTGATCTTGTTCTTGTGCCATTTCTTAGTCTCGACAAGTTTTTCTAGTCCTGAATTGATTTCTGAGTATTTTCTTTATTAATTAATTTTTAAATGTTGGGCTTAAAGGATAAATCTAATCTTATTATGGACTTTTTTTCTTTTACGAGCACCAAAATATGTTAAGATAAGATCTTAAATTTATAGTTTTACATGAGTTTGAAATAGGAGAACGTGAAACAAAATCGTCAGAACCAATTTGAGTAGTAGTTGAATGGTTACTCTATAAACAAAGATTAGTGGAGTTAGTTATGTGTGGCAATAACACACATTTTGGATGAAAGAAACCACATTTCTTTAGGCTTTATGGTCTATCTTCTTTCTCTATGATGTAAAATATCTTTCAATTTCTAGCTGTTTTCTTTCAATCCATGGTCTGCTACCCCCTCATCTTCTCATTTTGATTCCATTACTTTAATTGTTATTTAGCTATTTGTTGCTTTAGTTTGCTACCATAGATTTATGGTTGATGCTATCAAATTAGAGCATTGTTGTGTATTATCATGCCACTTCGTTTTGCATAAATAATTTATTAATATTGCAAAGATCAGTTATTCTTGTGACCAAGGTACTGCAGTGCATAGCACATATAAAGCATATAGTGATATATGGAGGTATATATGGTTAGTTTGATCTTGGTAAATCCAAAATTGTAAATAAGTAAAGAAACATGGCCATATGCTAAGATCCCATAAGAAACCTATGAGTGATATTTATACTCTTGCAAGAAGCAATTTGAGTGATAGCCGACGAGAAATGGGAAAAGGTGTATGCGACTAAAGTCATATTATCACCAAGCTAAGATATATGTTGTTATATGCAGCCATGAATTTATGCTTTTGAGGACTGCAAAAGTAATCGCATAGGTATATGTGACTGCATATTATGCAAACAAAGCAGTATTGCTTATTGCAGCCACATTCATCGCACACACTCGTCTGGCTGCATAAAGTGTTTTTTCCTTAAACATTGATGAAAGTCTTTACAGTCTTAAATAGTGTTGCAAAAAATGAAATTAGCTGTACAACTTTCTTGTCAATCTATACCAAAGGTCTTGTTACTCTTTTAGCCAACTAGAAAGACCATCACAGAGGTCCTATAGAGATTGTTGGCTCCTTGTAAGTGTTCTAATTTTTTTTATTTTTCATCAACAACAACAACACAACAAAGTCATATTTGGAATCTGCTACATGGATCTTTTGTCATCGAGATCTATACAAAATCATATATGTAATTAAGTTAAGAATATTTAAATTATTATTTATAGTTTCTATTAAGATTTTTTAGGTCTTCTTTGCCTTTCTACTTTTCCTCATACCACCACTAATTCTCATTTAATCTCTTCTAGTAAATAATATACATCTATAAATAACATACACCAGGGAATTTTTTTTATTTTTTCCTTATCAAAAAAATTTCCCTTCACATGATTTCTTAATTACAATCCAAGTGCTCAACCTTATCTCATTAGATTCCATTGATGCCCCATATAGATAGTGAAAATAATCTGCTACTTTGGAAAAAATTAGAAAAACCATTAAACTGAAACTTTGATTGTATCATGGACCTATTTGATAAAATAAATGAATTCCTTGTGGTAACTATTCTTCTGTTATTGTGTTCTCAGATATATCATCATATTAGAAAATCAAAATAGATCCTTGTACGATTGTATCTCTTGTCCACTTTGTCTACTTTGTGGTGAATAAGAAATTATTGACCGCATCAGTTCTTCGTATCAGTCTTCTAGACAACGAAACCATTCTCAATAAATAATTCATTTTTTTATGCTTTCTGCTCACAAAAACTTTCTGTTGACTGATGACAGTTGCAAAAATCTTCTTAAACTTTTTGATTCTCATTCTAACCATCATGCACTGTTGATGTAGGCAAAACCATATATTAGAGAATCAAGGATTGAAGAAATTGTTGATCCTAGTATAAAAGGACAGTACCATCCAGAGGCGATGTGGCGGGTGGTTGAGACTGCATCATGTTGTGTTGAGCCCATCGGAAGCTACCGGCCGAATATGGTGGATGTCGTCCGTGAACTGGAGGATGCCCTGATAATTGAGAACAATGCATCAGAGTACATGAGGTCTATTGAAAGCATGGGAGGATCCAACCGCTACTTGTCACTCGAGAAAAAGATCATAATACCAAGCGCAGAACCAACTGGACCCTAATCAAGTTTTTAGCCAAGCAGTTGAAGCTACACTTCCAAAATAATTCCGCATGGATGGTAAGAAAACAAATGAACGTAAGGTCCCTCGTTCATCCTAAATTTGATAAAAGAACAGTTGTTCTATGGCCTATACCTCAGGAACAAGATCGGTAAGTTGACATCCTCATGTTGTTGCCCATTGAATGTATAAAGCATCATCTTAATTTTTCCTTTGACACTATTGCTCCAGCCACCTCATAATAATTTCTGTGTATGTTGGTACAAATTGAACTAAATGCCTGCTTCTAGGGGTGGACTTGATTCATTCAGTTGGGTTTTATTGGTTCTCAAACTGAACAAAACATATTTGGTTCCTGTTCCTAAACTGAGATGAAGCTGAACCAGACTTCTAGTTCAGTTCTTGATTTGTTAATATATGTTAACTCCAGCATCTGGACTAAAAAGGCAGAAAAAATTAGCTTGATATTAACAAGGTCATTACATGTCAAAGAAAAAGAGTATGCATAAGAAAGGGAAAGAGCAACAGAACAGAGGGAGTAGCTTTACATGCAGGTTTGTGCGTCCCTCTCTTCCTCCTACAAGTCATTGTTACAATATATATATATATGTATATATATATGCCATTTTTTTTGTTAAATCAGAGTAATTCTTACCTAAAGACTTCACCAAATCACGAACCAAGTTCGTGGTCGGTCAATCTAAATCCGGTTCGGGTCGAGCCACATCGACCGTCTGATCCATCGGGCAGATAACTCGTCACTCACTCATTTAAAAATGCGCTCGATTCATATACCTGACTTTGTCGTTTACTCATTATCCGAGTCACCCACTTTTCACCCTGCTCGATGACCATAGAATACCGGGCCTATGTGGGACCCACATGTGGGGAACATGGGTGGCGACTGGACTAGTTGGGATATGAGTTTGGGGGGTGACGTTCGTTTGCGACAAAAAGGAGCTCGACTTTGCTAGGGTTTCAGGGGTGCTGAACTGTTAACAAAGGGGAGATATAATAATATAATACTCTCATCCTATCGTTCCCTCCTCTCCTCTGCTTCTCCTCGCTGCGACTCCACCTCAAAAATTTCCTGACCCACAAGTCCCAACTCTCCTCTCCGCTTCTTTCGTTCCCTCTTCACCTTTGCCGTCAATTTATATCTATCTATCGAGAGAGAGAGAGAGAGAGAGAGAGAGAGAGAGAGAGAGGAGGCGGCATTAAGGTAGTTGTCAAGTTCGCATCATGTGCTTCTTGATTTCTTGTTTTCATTATCGTTTCGATTTGCTATATATGGGTTATTTTCTTTCCCATTGTTCATATGCAATCTTTCTTTGGTCGTTTCGGCTCAGGCCTTGTAATTGGTGTATAAGAAGTCGAGGGTTATGAGATCCCCGGTGTTGTTGTGCCGCTCTCCCATCTTGCGAGGGCAATAGAAGATGCCATCGACCTACCCGCTGAGCACCTCGTCGGAATTCCTGCGTGGCCGTGGGCGGAGCTTCTTGTTCGGCAACACCTGCTTCGTCCTCTCCGAACCCCTCTCCTTGCTTGGCTGCGGCGGCTCCCTTCTTCTCCCCAAGTCGTCCGTCGTCGCCGGCTCCTGCGACCGCCGCACTACGCTGTCCGGCCTCGCAACGATCCCGAGGAACGTCAATACCCAGCGTTCGTGGTCCACGCAGTGGTTTCCGTTTCGGCGGAGCATAATGTCTTCTAGCAGCGCGTTTCTGGGAGGGTCCGAGTTGAGCGCCAGGCGCGTCGCGACCAGTGATGCGAGATCTGGGCATGGTTTGAGCGGTATGATGCGGATTGATATCTGTTATAGGTACAAGGGTTTTGATTACTGCAGGAGAGCAAGTGGGAGCTTGAAAAATAGGCAACCTTGGGGTACTAATATGATCTACAAGTGTTTCTGGTCTGATGCACATGCGACGAATTGGAGATCAAATTCTTCCATCGAGCCCGGGAGTCAAGATTTTCAGACGTCACATACAGCATCGTTTTCTGCTGGGGCGGCTTCTGATGTTTCTTTCGATGCGGCCATGCAGGAGGAGCAGCTTCAGAATTCTGATGTATCCTCTGAACAGTATGTTACTTGACATCCTTTGTCTTCCCTTTTATACTTTAATTATCTTTACATTACGTGGCTTACTACTACTTCAGATGCTGTAAAGGAATTTGGTAATTATATGTTGTGATTCTATGGAAATGCAACACATTTTAGTCACTTATGCACATCATCCTACTGTTGTTGTGTCTTATATCAATCAGTAAGCTAGATTAAGTGGTTTTTGCATAATATAATGTTTTAAAGAGTAAAGACATATAATAACTGTAAGATATATAAACCTGTGTGATTAGATTATGTAGGACATTTTAGCTTGTATTATCACTAAAGTATCTTGAATTCTCAAATTTACTAGCATCGCCATGTTGGTTCCATATCCACGTGTTAGACATGTCAGTATATTTGATTGTAAGTTTTGAAGATCATTATTATGATTCTTCAAAAAATATAACCAACGAAAATGATAATAATTTGTTATTCATAATCAATCATTGTCTATTCTGTTAACTCTTGGTTTGGTTTTACCATATTTTGGTTTTTCAGTTAAGACATGGATGGGTCTCCTCCTAAGTGATACATTATTATCATTTGATCTGAGGAGTACCTGAATTCTAATTTCATTAACTTATAATGAGTGGCCAATCCATCAAATGACAAATTAAATCGCATTGTAACTTTAAAAATGTCGTATCAATGAGCCATTTTAAGTAGCTTATTTTTGAAAGAAAGAAGCTATGAAGTATACCACTAATGTTGTATCTCTTGCAGGTAATTAATGTTAAATGAATCAAATAAACAGGAAGCAAATTACATTAAGCCTCATCTGCACATCTTCCATGGTTTATAACTAATCTGCCATTTACATTCCTTGCTTGTAGCTTGAAGGGGTTTTTTTTATGCGTGATCATGTTACTCTTTGTATATCAGCTCGAACTCACCTGGAATAGTGGTAAATTCTATTACATTGTCTAGCAATTTTGTAAAATATCAAAGGATGTAGAGTGTCTAATCAGTGTCATAGGTTGCTCCTCAAAATTCTTCATTTATGTTGGAACTCTGCACAAGTCTGCTTCATAGTTTAAAGTTGCCTCTACATAACATTAGGCCTCTACATAACATTAACCTTTTTTAGGTGCAGATTAGGCCTCTACATAACATTAACCTTTTTTAGGAAACTTTTATTTGAAGTTTTATATTTTTATATTTATTTTGCAGCAAAATTTCAGGTGATAGGTCATTGAAGCTTCTTTCCGGATCTTGTTATCTACCACACCCTGACAAGGAGGAAACTGGAGGGGAGGATGCTCATTTTATCTGTGTTGATGAGCAAGCTATTGGTGTGGCAGATGGTGTTGGTGGATGGGCTGATCTTGGTGTTGATGCAGGACAATATGCCCGAGAACTTATGTCTAATTCAGTGAATGCAATACGGGAAGAGCCAAAGGGTTCTGTTGATCCAGCAAGGGTTCTTGAAAAAGCCTACACAATAACCAAAGCCAGGGGATCTTCAACAGCATGCATCATTGCACTCACTGATCAGGTTTTCAATTTTCTTATTTGATCTCTCTCCTTTTTATTTGTATTAATTATTAACATCTTATTTCAACAGATCTCAAGTTGTTTCTTGTTAGTGTTGATTTGTTTCTGTTAGAGTTCAAAGGATACATTAATGCAGATACACTTTCTGGACCCAAACTGTCACCATACTCTTTTCAATTAGGTATCTTAGGTGTTAGGACTTGCCTTTGATTTGCTTTCCAACTTTTGCATTGTTGTTGCGTTGCAACATTAATTTGCACATGTTGCCTAGTTACCTGCTCTTCCCTTTCCTAGTGGTAGTTCAATGAGTGGAAATTTGTTTCAATTTCTTACAAAACAGTTGGTCACCATTATTGTGAATAACAATTTTGCCTGGGAGATCATCTTAAAACTTGGATGTCCCATTCAGGACCAAGTGTGGTCGCTTTAGATGGAGGGGGATATTGTAGGATTTGTGATAAATCTTGATTTTGAAGAAGAGGGAAGTTTAAGATAAATGATTGTGAAATAGAGGAAGATACAGTGTTTGCTATCCGCTATATGTCATTGCCAACTATTTTGCAATGCTTGTTATCCACTGTCAAAAACAGAGAAAAGAAGGGGAATGTCTGAAGATGACTTTTAAGGAAATAGCATAACAAAGGAGAGGGATATTGTAGATTCGTGATAAATATCAGTTTTTTTAGACACTCTATGTTCAGGTTTTTTTTTTGTTATATATAATAACCCACCTGTATGGTGATTAGAAAAGTTTCAGGGCTACAATGGGGTCCATCACAACCTTCAACACCTAAGTCTTTTGTATGAAACATATTAGTTATTAACTACATTAATATCTTTTTGTGATATGAATGATATATGTTTTTATAATGGATAATAACTTTTTAAAGAACTTATTCTTCATTATTTTTTATTGTTATACAATTTTTTACTTTTTACAATTCAATTTCGTATCTATGTAGGATGTTGACATATAGCATATGATGGTAACGGAATTTCTAATATATATTTATTATTTATCAAAATTTTATTGCATATTTTTAATATTTTGGTACTTCTATGATGTTCTGTATGTTGTTGTTTTTATTATTTTCTAGTTGATTCTGATTTGTTAATTCTACTCCATCAGTTTACTAACTAATCTTGATGGTCCTGGACGAAATCATCCCTAGCCGATACTGATACAATTACTGATTTCATGAACTACAAGATTCATCCATGTCTAACCCTCAAATGTAAGCTTATTACTAATGCAGTACATTTAATATAATCAAGTTAATTGGAAGATTGCATTTGCAAGATATCTCTCTCTCTTTTACTTCCTTTTGATTATCATCTTTCTGTTTCACCTCCACTGTATGCTTTTCATCCCTCCTAGTTTGAACAGTCTACTTTCCTTTAACTTTTTGCTTGGGTGCCTAGCTCTATGGTATCTTTGTCGAACTACTTATTGCTTTGGTAGTTATAGTCAAGTTTCTGACGTTCTGTATTTTCCAGTTCAAAGCTGGCCAATGTGCAAAACAGACAATCTCTCTCTGTTTGATTTGAAATGGAGCTTAGTATCCAGTGATCTCATCACATTGGATAGTTAGCTATAAATGGTATTGAATTGTACTGTTGTAAGCTTATCATTTGGTACTAGTAGTGGATTTTTAAAATATATTTTCAGGGATATGACAATGGTTGATAATTGTCTTATTTGACTTATCTCTATGCTCTCTTTCTCTGTCCTTTGCCATCGTCTCTTTTTGTTCTACCTCTACCATTCCCCTACCTCCTCCTTCGCCTCCTCCGCCACCTCCTCCTCTTCTCCTCTTCAGCCTTCTCTTCTGCTTTTCCATCTCCTCCTCCATGTTGCTGCAGCCTTCTGAATCTGTTGTCTATCCTATCCGTACGTGTCTCCTTTGCCTCATTTTCTCTTCTCTTTCTCTCTCTGTCTCCCCCTTTCTCTCTGGTCCAATTGGGAATCTCCAATATCAACCTGTGTTGCTTGTTGGTATAGGATTGCAATTGATCATAGATGGGATGGAACAATAACAAAGGAGAAGGAAACAACACGAGATGGTTTGGCGGCATTGGAAGAAGAGAACATGGATAAGATGGTGGAAACAATGGTTCGGTGGAGCAGAATGAGCTAGGAGGGAAAATATACAAGGGATAGTATTTCTGTGGTTGAAAAATGAATCATGTCAAACTTTCTGCTTATTCTGTTTGTAACAAGCAGTGGTGATCAAAATTTTTTTTGGCTTTCCCACTTTTTTTTCTAGTAAATAGAAGTAATTTACAGTTACAGTGTAATTGTTGACTTAAACTAGAGGACAAAAGGGTTTTTTACTCATCACACATCTTAACTGATGATTTCAAACCCGAGGACAATAAAGAGAATGTGTGAGAAAGGTGTTCACTGTGATGACCGAACAAACCAGATTGTGTAGAAGATGGATAGATAGTAGTGATAGATTTAGAGCACAGGATTTTTGGGCCTCGGCCTAGGTAGACAGCTGTTGGATAAATTTTGGTTGGATAAATGGAACAAAGGAGTAGTCATTAGAACTCCATTAATTTTATCCTCGAGAATGGAATAATTATAATTTTCTTTTGGAGTGGTGGAGGATTAAAGGAAGATTGAAGGGGCAAAATTTTCATTGGCTCTATTCCTATTTGATGGATGCATTATCAAGATGCTAGATATCAAGCTTGCTTTAGATTCCCTTGGTGGAATGAGAAAAGGAGTGCTATTCTTGCATTCAAGGTTTGCATCAATTTAAGTCCATTTTACACAAAAATTATGAGACTCCAAATTAAAATCTGCACTCGTGATGCTTAATTCAGGACAAATAATTTCAAATGATGATAGAACTATTACTTGCTACTGTTCTATTTTCATGCCCTTGGTACAAATAAGATGCCATATAATGGGAATATTGGTCAATATCTGTGCAGTTTTTTCATGAAAAGCATCCAAGTGTATGAACTTTCAAGTCTGTCTCTATATTACAATATGATCTGTCATCTTCATAGATAGAATGACTTTGCTAGATAATATACAGTTCCTTTTTTAGAGACTCCTATGTATTCTTTGAGTAGCATGCAGCTATCATTCTTCTGCTGACATTTGGGTTGAAGTTATACATGAAGCCTATATTATCTTGGTGTTACATCTGAACTGCCATTTTTCTGTCGTGTATAGCACATGTTCTTGAATTTGACATGCCTTGCTCATTGTCTCATGATTTTGTTATAATACACTATGAAGCTCGCTAGTAGATAACCACAATGACAAAATCATGATATATTTATTTTGTTTTGTTATTTGCAGGGCATTCATGCAATCAATCTGGGAGATAGTGGCTTCATAGTCGTGAAAGATGGTTGCACAATCTTTAGGTCACCTGTACAACAACATGATTTCAATTTCACTTATCAACTTGAGAGTGGTAATGGCAGTGATCTCCCTAGTGCTGCCCAGGTCAGTTAGTTCCGATGGCTTCTCCTGTTATTTCTTCCTGCTGAATAAGTGCATATATGATAAGTCATATATCTCTTAGGTTCTGGAGCAGTTTTAATTGGCAATGAGTGCTTAGGTGTCATAAGTAGTCTATCATATTATGGTACTTACATTTTTCTTATGAAACCTTAAATTTTTTGAACAAGTGAAAAATTGAACAGTATGAAATTGAATGGTAAAATAATTTACTTATAAGTTCTGTCCAAGGCCTGCCTGATTTGATTAATTTTTCAGCATTGATTTTAAAATTAGCTGGAATAAGCTGTGATTAATCAAATTGTGAAGACAAAGAAAAGACAAAAAAGGGATGTTGTGACTGAACATGAAACAAAGAAGACATTACTATTGCATTTGCTATATGTTGCAACTATCGCATTTGTCATTTACATCATTATTGTCATATTCATCATCCACCAATATGTAGGACAGGAAAGGATATGAGATTTACGTTCCTGATCACAAAAACAAAGAGCATCATCCTTAGCAATCATGATCATACAATCCTAAGCTGATCCCTTTTTTCAGCACTGTGAAACAAACATTTCGTCTAATTTTGTATATATGTGTAAAAGCATTGTCCATTCAAACTATAAATCTTTGCTTCTAGATTACTGGCATGCAAAATTATTAATGTGCAAAACTAATTATTACTTTATTGGCATTTTCTCAGGTATTTACTTTCCCTGTTTCATCTGGTGATGTAATCATTGCTGGAACAGATGGACTATTTGATAACTTGTACAATAATGAAATTACGGCTGTTGTTGTCCATGCGACTAGAGCTGGCTTGGGGCCTCAAGTAACTGCTCAAAAGATAGCTGCGCTTGCACGGCAGAGAGCACAAGATAGGAACCGACAAACTCCTTTTTCAACTGCTGCCCAAGATGCTGGCTATCGGTACTATGGAGGCAAACTTGATGACATTACAGTTGTGGTATCCTATATCACTGCATCTGATGCTTAATAGGAGCAATTTAATCACTCAAATTGTACAGCTTCGGGTACTCGAGGCCAATATGGCATCTGCATAAGTTCCTCGTGGTTGCATCAAAATATAGACACAAAATGAAGGTAGAGTTTAATGGAATACTGTTTCTTTACCTTTATCGTTTGGGCTCTATACAGAAATTCTTCAGGGCAATGCTTGGAAGAACCTGTAGTTGCAGCAGTACATGTTTTACAATAATAGACTACCTTGAAGATTCTGAAGGATATCTTTTCAACCTACGGAGAGTTGGATGGAATCAGCTCTCAATCATCCGATCTCATGAATGCTCGACAGGAAGCCACATAAAGGCTGCACAAGACATACCGAGGAACATCCACTGGCCAGTTTCTTTTATCGACTATGTGCTGCAAGGGAACTTGAATTTATTTTGTGATGTAGATTTGTTTAGACTTCAAATTCTCACCGATAAAGCCTACTTCGTGTTGGTGAATGAAGAAACACACAAAGACAAACAGTTGTGTGTGGTTGCAATTAAGATTTGTGTTTAAAATCAGCTTTTCATGGTATGTTTGGCAATCAGTTGATCGGAAGGACTCATGTGAATGCTCGACAATCAGTTGATTGAAGAACTTGTGAATGCTTTGATTAGGACTTATACCCTTATTACTGAGTGAGTTCATATAGTCCATGAGAGGTTAATATTTGCTCCCAAAATAGTACCCAAATGCAGGAAATATTTGTTCAAGTGGTCAAGAAAATTTAGATTTTGCCAAGCTCCTATCCATAGTGTCATTTGGCATCTCAAATGCCTCGCATGGTTTAGTATATCAAATGTCTGTGAATAATTTCAATGATTCTCGCTGATAGATCAAACTGGAATCACTGGATGTCATAATGTGACATCATAACGTATTGGAATGACATGTTCGTTTGCTATTGCTTCTGTGAAGGTGCCACAGCGTGTACATGACATGATTTCATGATCATCCACGTTTGCCAAACAAACGCACACCATAAGATGTTCGATGATTACCCAAAATAAAGAATATGAATATGAATAAATTAAATGTAATCTTGACAAAGAATAAGATAATGTGCTTAGATTCAGATGAACCAATTAAAATTAGTGGTAAAACAAGAGGAGAAGGAAATTAGTGAGACACTATAAATTATAAAAAGAGATTTAATTACTGTTGACCTAACTAAAGATATTACTTGATATCAAACTTAAAGAAACCATATGTAGCTAATGCAAAACATTTTTTATTTTTTGACCAATATACATTTGTGTTCCAACTTCTCTAGAAATCAGTATATTGTTATTTCAGTGCATTGTGCATATAGATGACATAGACTATCTCATCCTGTGTGTATTATCATAATAGAACAAGTATGATATGTTTATGACTTACATAATTACTTTTATTGGTTTTAAAGTATTAGTTAATTATAGTATCACAAATATAATATAATATAATATATTTTTAGTTAGCTCTTTAGTCAGTTACATAACTGATATTAAAGAACTGACTTATTAAATCAATTTCTTGAAATAAACTATTTAAATTGATTTCAGATCACCAAAATATTAATTATTATTATTTTCTTAACATAGTTTTTTAATAAAAATTATCTAATATATAGTTATATATATATAATATTTTTATTAAAAAATATATCTTATGAATAAATAAATAAAAATATATATATATAATTTTATATAATTTAAGTTTTTATATGATCGGTAGTGGAGATCCACTATTATTGCGGATTTTGCAACCTTCCCTTAGGGCTTCTCGTTTGCCGTCCTCCTCTTCTTCTTTTGGCGTCTCCCGTGAACGGCCTTCACCGGCGTCGACTGCTGCGCTTCGATGGCTACCGCCAGGATCGAGGAGGCTATCGCATCGATCCCGGAGAAGAAAGAAAGCCTCCGAAGGGCGTTGGAAGCCCTCCGGACCCACCTCTCCTCCTCCTCCCCCTCCCCCTTCTCCGTCCCGGAATGGAAGGACCTCGACGCCCACATCTCCTCCGTCGAGGCCTCCATCCGCCTTCGCTTCCAAGCCCTCCTAGCCAAGGAGGCCGCCCAGCCCTCCTCCTCCCCCTCGGACTCCAAAGAAAAGCCCTCTAACGAGTGGCAGCCTCATGCCAACCCCGAGCCTGAGGCCGTCCCGAGGCCGCAGCTCACATCCCTCTGCGTCAACATGGACGGAAAGGACCTCGTCTCCTTCATCGCCCGGAACCGCAAGGACCTCGGGGCCATCCGCAGCGAGCTGAACCCCGCCCTTCGATCAGCCCCGGACCCTGCCAAGCTGGTCCTCGACGCTATGGACGGCTTCTTCTCGTCCCCTCCTCCCCCGCCCAAGGGCGACAAGAAGGGTGACAAGGACGCGGATGCGCTGGCGACCAGGAGGACCTGCATCAACCTCCTGGAGCGCATCCCGGTGATCGGCCCAGAGATTGGGCCGTCCGTGAGGGACCAGGCCAAGAAACTAGCGACCGAGTGGAAGGGGAAGGTGACGGATGGCGGGCGCGAGAACGGCCTCGAGGCCATGGGGTTGCTGCAGCTCCTCGTGTCATATGGGTTGGCATCGGAGTTTAAGGTCGATGAACTCTTGGATCTACTCATTTTAGTTTCTCGTAGGAAGCAGGCTGTGGATCTCTGCAAGAGCTTGGGTCTCACCGAAAACGTTCCTGGTAATCTGGAATCTAATATTACCCACCTTTCATTTAGTTGTGGCAACATTTTATTGGAGCTTCATTATATTCTTGAATTTGTGTTCGTTTATTTCGATCATGCATCGTTTTCTTGCTGCAATAACATTACATGCCCCATTTGTTTCTTATATTTGCTGTAGTGTTTAACTTATTTTGGATCACTGCTTTGCTCAAGAATCTCTCGTCTTATTGTAACAGATTTTATTTGTCAGAGTAATTAGCTGGAACACCTTGAACTACTTAGTTCATCATTCTTCACTTAGTGCTCACAGGAGTAGTTTTTCTTTGACCTTAAATGAATTGTATTCATTTGATTAGAGTGTTTTTTGTGTTTTGAAGCAGCCACAAGAATTCAAGCGTATATATTTTCAAATATTGGCCAGTTTGTAAGTTGTAATAATGTTTTCTGGCAAATGATATGCAGAATATTAATTGAAGTGAAAAGAATATTTTGGGCTCATAATCTGCCAGATCTTGAGTAGGCTCGATAGTTCTGTAAAAATGTATAGGTGCAACCTAGCCTGGATACATAAATAGATCAAGCCTGGCCTATGTTTGGAATTGTAAGACCAGTGTCAACCTGCCCCATCTGTGATTCTCAACAATAACGGAAAGAAGAAAAAAAAAGTTTTCTTTTACCCAAACACCAGTCAGTAGAGACACAACCTCACTACCTAGGACCGCATGCCTATGCTGCTGGGACTACAGAATGCACTTGTGTCAAATGGGAAGTCGGGATATTTGGAGAGGACGGTTGATGAGGGCGGGGTGTGGCATTGATGAAGCAGATGATTTAGTGTCGACCATTGGAGGTGAGGTGTTGAGGGGTTTGTCATTGAGAGGTGAAACTACTAGAGAAGACAGGCTGCTGATAGGGTTAATCTTGGGCACATGGCATTAATGGAGAGAGAGAGGGTCGCTGGGGCTGAGGGGATTCCTATGAGAGTTGGCAGTATTAGCATAGAGGAGAACAAATTTGATAATTTTGAGCTGAGCAGAGTAGAAATGAGTAAATTAGGTAGTCTTATAACCACTATATTGCCTATCCTTGGGATTTTTGAAAATGAATAATTGTTGTCCAATTAGATTTTGAGGTCTCTTCCCCTATGCATCCAAATTGAGATCAAGGATAAGAAAAAAATCATCTAAAATATGTTTTAAACAACATATATTGACTCATTGAATTTAAACTAGAAAAATGATAACAAGCAAAAATTTCATATCTGTCTGATTGCACCATTTCAAAGCTTCAAGTAGGAGGAGATTATAAAGCTCAAATGTAATCCATGAAAAGTTAGAGATCAAGCATCTCAGTCATATCCAATAAAATCATTTCAAAATAAAAATAAATTATTGGTTTAGATCAACAAAATTTACACGGACAAACAGGAAACCCCAATATCTTAAACTAGAAAGCTAGTAACACACATATAACACAATTTACAGGACCTGCAAGACTTTCTGATCAGTCTGTTGAAAGTTGCAATATTTATGAGATCTTTTTGTCAGCTACCGACTTCTGTCTCTTCCTTCTTCATGGTATTTATAGAATTATAGCTTTATATTTAATAACTATTGTCATTTAAATTTTAATTATGCTCTTCTCCTGTAATTTATCTTGGCTTTATGTCCTTGATACAATCTATGGATATTGATTTAGGAATCATTATTTCTCTCAAGATCATATTTTCTCATCTCAAGCAGATTTTGATTTCACTACTATGTTTTTCAAAATAATTGTTGCATATGTTGAACTCTTTTTTTAAATTCTTTTCATGTCCATCTCCATATTTTAGTTTGTTGACGACTTAATTATTATTCCCAGCCTGAAATATTTACCCTACAGGTCTGTCCTTACCTGAACCTTTGTTTGTTTCTCTGTCCACTCTTACGCCATTTGGATCTTTTAGTCTAGCTTCTTTCAGGAGATATTACATGAAACAAGTTTACATGTCACTGTACTTCACATAACTAGTTTGCTAAGGTTGTGTTTCATTTTGGCAAGTTGTTATTCAGGACTGACAAATATGATTCTTAGGTGATTATATCCTTTCATGTAATGTATTCCTGTCTGATTGTCATGTAGAATGTACCCTTTTGCCGGTTCAACTGACTAGTTTTAGATGTTTGGATCCATTATCATACATGAAAATATTTCTCTTTGTGACAGAACTTATTGAAAGACTGAATAATAAAGGGAGGCAACTTGATGCTGTAAAGTTTGTGTATGCTTTCAATTTAGTGGAGAAATACCCACCTGTTCCTCTTCTGAAAGCGTATATAAAAGAAATTAAGAAGGCTGCCCAAGATGTCAGAAATAAGGGAAACAATTCATCTGAATCAGAGGTATACTCGAGTTGCAGTTTACAGTCCTCGTGATTAGGCTAACAAATTTGTATTCTTACATCCTACTGTATATTGTCTGAAACAGAATGTGGCTACCTCGAAAGAACTTGGTGCATTGCGATCTGTAATTAAAGCAGTTGAGGAATACAAGCTTGAGTCCCAGTATCCTCGTGAATTTCTTGAGAAGCAAGTTGCAAAACTGGAGAAACGGAAGGAAGAAAAAAAGCGGAATGTGGCAGCAGCAGCAGCTGCTTCAAATTTCAAGATTCAGAAGCAGCAACATCCTAATAAACGCCCCCGGCCAACTGCTACCACATCAAATGGCATCACTGGACAATCTTTGCCTCCAGGGATAACAAAACAGCCCCAATTTGGTTTAGCTGACCCATCTCCACATATGGGTTTGGCCGGGGCGTATGGTTTTGCTTCTTCTGGTTCCTTGTACAACAATGCAAGCATTTCTGGATTTCGAAGTCCACCCAGGTCCTATCTTTACTCATCGGAGTCTCTGGCTGGCACAAGTGGTTTCTATGACAGGCCAGTGAATTATACTGGTTATCCCGGTTCTCGATTGCCTCCACCTTACAACTCATCTTTATATCCTTAAAATATCAACTTCTCTGATGGTTTCTGTAATTATACCCTGATCAAGTTTTTGTTAGGTGGAATCTTGCAGTGTTTTTAGCTTCGCAGTTAATATACTTCCAGAAAAGAAAAGTCTGTAGTGCACCAGTGTATGCAATATCCGCTAGTCTCTACATGATTCTCATCCACAACTTATTTGTAGCTACAAATTGTGTTTGTGAACTAAATAGTTGCATACATATGTGCTGTAGTGACCTGCAATTCAAAGGATTTTGGTTGGAAGTTCCAAGTAAACTTCCAACAATTCAAATGCCATCTGTGTGGCAACAAAGTGGGTGTAGGTTTACTTTTGGTGCTGTTTTACTTCGTCTGCATGGGCTGTGTGAGCAAAAATTTGGTGTAAACTTGAGTTGTTTTTGCTGATTGGAATGCAAGGAAATGATTCGCGGAGGAGATGGTTCTTCCTAGTTCTAGTGGATTAGCTCGAAAATCCTATTCATTTGAACCATTTGGTTGATTTGACTCCTTTGTCTATTTTGCATAAATCAGCAGCTTATACAGATCTAGACGTGATTATCTGGGTTGGTTATGGGATAGTATCTCATTACAAGTGCCTGCGGCTTCTTTTGGCAATGTTGTGGCTCATCTTGACGGCAAAAACTACTCTTTCTTGTGCCGTTTGGTGGGGTTGCATTTGTTGCTGCTTCGGCTAGTTTACCCTCTGGTGCATGATATACTTAGCAATTGAGGTGCGTGCAAGCTACTTCTGATACCTACTGTGCTCCATTGCAGTATGCCACTCGATTTAAGCTTCCGATCATTGTGCTAAATGCTTGGATGATCCTCGTAATATCCTTTACTGCTTATGAAATGCTTGAACACCGATGTTTGATATTGGTTTCCGACTTGTTCGATAAGGTATACTTGCTTATCATGTCATACAAGCATATTGGCTTTAAAAGGTGAACTATGAACTGTGGTACTCTTTATGTTGTGATCTCATATTCTCAAAGAACACTTTGTATGTTCATTATACCTGTTGGATCGTCAATTGACTTAAGAAGAGATATCCAGTGATTAATCATATGATGAAATTTGTGAGTAATAGATTTGTCACCGATCAACACGTGAAGAAGACTGAAATCTGGCAACTTTGTCATTAATCACAGAGAAGTATCATAGAAAAACTGCATTCACTCGTACTCATCATCAAGAAAGAGCTGCCTTTCAGACACGATGACCAAGTATCGTAGTCTGAGATTTCTCACAAGTTTACGCTGAGCTGTGTCAAGGAAGCGACTCGATCTGGCAAGCACCATGACCTGCGAGCAAGGACCGATGAGGTGAGTCCACAGCATTTCACTGACGAAACGTTCAATCTGTTTAAAAGCTCTGAGACTTTTCCGCTTTGTGTTAGCAAATATGAGTTCTCTCAACGATGCATTTCTTTTGCTCATTCATAGAGAAGCATGCGCTAGCTTATGATTTAGGAATTTTAATGCTGCTTCATGATTCATCATCTCGAGGATCTGCCTCATATACTAATTAGAACTCGTGCAAAACCAAATAACTCATACTTGGATTTAGGTCGGAAACCATAGCAGCAGCACCAAAGTAGCAAGAGCCTCCGTGATTTTTGTATCTCTGCCAGTAGCTGTTGAAGGCATAAGATGCATGGTCTTTTATGGTGTTGGGAAGATAGCAAGGCTTGTTTGGTTGGATCATCTTGCAGTCTGCACCCCCTGGTCCACATGCCCAATCAAGTGCTGCTTGTAGAATATCATCAGGTGTTTGTTCATCTGCTATGCACCATTGCTTCTCCAGATCATCCCCATCTATCATGCACCAAAATCCAGTTCAATTTTCTGTTTACGATTAGAAAAGCATCACAGCATCGGTAAGAGATATATTACTAAGACATTTGTAGCCTCATAACTCTATGGATTGAAAGTATAATGACAAAGACTTCGTGGTTGAAGCATCTTCAATTTCTGGAAAACAAACAACCATAATTCTTTAGAAAAGAATAACAACTACCATCATGGTAAAGAGACCTTCTTTTCACAGGAAGATCGGAAGAAAATATTTCTGCAGATGGGCTGATAATTCAAGACACCATCATGAAACTCTCTCATCTAATCTTCTACTGTCATAATAGTTGAGTGGATCCTAGATTGATCGAGGACCATGTATATGTTTCTTCATAATTGCTTGTACCTGTTCTGTTTGAGGTAAGACACTGACTCTGTTCTTAAATGTACAGGGGAAATAAAGAACTGGAGCAAGAGATCCTATCCAGACCATGGTTGTGTGTGTTACCTGATCCTGGCGTAAGCAGCACAAGTATCAGCACTGATGGCAGCAGCCTTCTTAGAGCAGTTCTCATGATCATCTTGTTCCTCCTTTGCGTCAACCTGTATCCTCATTTGAAGAAGTTTGTGTTAATATTCTACCACTTGTTAAATCATCATTAGATTCTTTCCTTCAAGCTTTTGATATGTTGGAATCTTTTCATGTTCTTCCTTTAGCGTGAAGTGTGGATCTTTTGCAGCTGAAATAACTGGCACTTCCTCAGTGACCAGATCCAACAAGGACATGGCTTAGAACTTGGAGAACACTCCAGTCTGCTGCTTTTGAGAGTAAGCATTGTGATCAACAAAGCCCAAAGCGTGTCGGATTCTTCAGACACTACATCTATTACTTTTGTTTTCTAATTCTATTCTTCAGGCCTTTAATAATAAGGATAAGCAATCGATGAAGCATAAAGTGTCTTATTCTTCAGGCCTTTAATAATAAGGATGCGCAATCGATGAAGTATAAAGTGCTTTATTCTTCAGGCTATAAATCCATGACAAAACTACGGCATTTACTATATATTGGTTCTTTTAGTTTATTTATGTTTTGAAGTAATATTGACACGTGTGTATGTATGGGTAGAGCAGCAGATTCGCTTTTTAAAGTATAAATCTAATCAACCAAAATATTTATTGGTTATAAGTCATTTACAACGGTTCTTACTCCAAATACCTACTTTATTCTAGAATTTTCACTCGTCGATAGAACTATGATTATTTCTTGTCCTTTAGTTTTTAGCCCTCCTCATCGATACAATTTGATTGGAGATGATATATTTATACAAATTACAATCAATCTTAATTTTTTTTTTGTTAGAATTTGATTTAAATTATTAAGATATTTATTATTTAAAATCAAAGTATTACATATTTAGGTAAACTTTTTAAAAATATCTTAAATTTTTATTTTTTTTATAAATCACCTATTTTTTGTTTTATCCTCGTAGAACACCTCTTATTTTTTAAAAGATAAGATTATTCCTGACCTTTGTCGTACAGGTTATTGTCTTCATCCCATTATGGTTATCTCTGTATTGTGGTCGCCGCTATCCCGTCGTGGTCATCTCTAACTCTTATTTTTAACAATAAAACTATGACTATCTCTTACCCCTTTTTTTTTTCATAGTCCTCCTCTTCAATACAATTTGATAGAAGATGTTATATTTATAGAAAAGACAGTAATTGTAATATTTTTTTTATTAAAGTTTGATTTAAATTATTAAGATATATATTATTTCAAAATCAATATATTATAGATTTAGCCAAAAATTTCAAAAATATCTTAATTTTTTTTATTTTATAAATCATTTATTTTTTTACTTTTTTCTCGTGAAACACACTTTTTTAAAAAAAAAGATAAGATTATTCCTAACATTTGTCATATAGGCCATCGCCTTCACCCCATTGTGGTCATCTTTATCACATCATGATCATTTCTATCTTGTTATAAGGCCTTATTACCCCATTGTATCCCCACCCTCTACTCCCTTTGCCTCCACACTACTCTCTGCATCCTCACCATCATATTAACCTTTTGAATAAGTGATTTTTTTTTTCCTCCCCCTAACACCTCCACTCTTAATGATGCAATATGGAAGAAAGGCATAGAGCTTCCGAAAAAAGAGAAAGGGTGGAACTCTCCCCTTTTATGATCTCTCGATTGATTGACTAAGGTAAAATTTCATTGTGCTACCTAGCAAAGGTGAAGGGGGTTGAGGGTAAGGGCGGAGAGAAGTGTAAGGTGAGGTGTGGTGAGGCGAATATGGTAAGGCCTTATAGTAGAACTTAAGTAGTGGGCAACGAGTGAGAGGCGGAGGCATTGATGAAAGGACATGACAAAGGTTAAACTTATCTAGTTTATCATAAAATAAAAGACAAGAATAAGGTAAAAAAAAGAATGGAGATAAACGAGTAAAAACTTAGGATCATATTATATATATATATATATATATATATATATCTATTTTGTTTGTAGAG